TCGTGCCAGCACTTCCACAACCTGTGGAAAATCGCGTCCTGCTCCTTGCCGCACAGAGGGCAGAGCAGGTCGGGCATAATGTAGCCGTGCTCTGCCGCTCTAACCGGGGTCCACGGAGCCTGACAGACGAGCCCACGGATACAACCTTTTTCCCACGGCGTGAACTTAGACGAAGCCATCGCTCGGAGCGGCACGTCTAAGCAAGCACGGCGCTCAAGACCAAGGCTGTCGCCGTAGGCACGCTCATGAGATCCCAGAACGGCGAGGCGCAGCAGACGATTGAGAAGGGCGGGGGAAACGAGCGCTAACTGAACTTGCACCCCCAAATCATCAACCAAGGTGGAAAAGGAGGGCATCCTCCACCCGAGACGCTCCACCGCCAGCCTAAGGGCCCCCACGGGGCCCCCAATCTGCCTCCAGGAGGGAGAGGGGCCCGCAAACACAACATTCCAAGCCCCCCTAAGCTCAGCCAAGCTGAGGCCAAACTCAAAGGAGGCCGTAAGGCTGGCCCATATTTCTTTGGACCAGCGCACGATAGGGGCCACGGCACAATACCAAGTGGGGTCGGCGGCGAACAGCAAAGCTGTGGTCAACGAGCGGCCTCCAGCCGAGGGGCTGAGAAACCGCCCAAGAGAACGCCGCAGACTCGCCAACTCATGGTCGGAAGCGCCGTGCACCTCACAGCCATAGGTCCTGCTGGCCAAGGGGCCACTGGTATATATACGCTTGGCATGTCTCCCCAAAGCATTCCTATGAACCCTCAAACGATGGCATTTGGTTTTGAAGGCCTTTTTCCGAATCTGAATCTTAGGTCCTCTCCTGGCCATCCCCCTAGGCTTGCCTGCCGCGTCGTCAATGCCCAGGTTGACAGCAGATACGCACGGAGCTCCGCCCACAGCGCCGAGGCCTCGGCGGATCTCCTTAGCCACCAGGGGAACTGAGGCGACCACGGCCGCCTGGCTGACAGAAATGGAACAACCTAGATCGGACTCGATGGCAATCTGCAATCGGAACGCCGCTTCGATCAGGTCCTGAACGACGGCATTGGGAGCCCCCGTGCAAGATAAAGTGTAGTCATCGATGTACACTCTCAACGAGACCGATCTAGGGATGCTGAGGCCATCTAAGGCCGCAAGCGTGAAGACGCGAATGAAAGTGGTGGCGAATCCACACCCAGCAATCAAGCCTCGCCAAGCAAACTGCGGGCCCTCCACGCGGCCGTTCATGGCCATGTAGCGGCACGAGCGATAGGCCTCGTAGCAGACCCTGGCAATCTGCATAGGAAAGGAATGCTGGTGACAACGGGCAAGGAGCGAGTCGAGGTCAACAGCCTCGTAGAACTTCATAATATCCCACAAGATAGACCCCGAGCAGTCCTTAGGAGCAACCGCAACCTCGCTCCTCACTCCTTGTCTCCAGACGGTATCAACACTGGAGGCGAAAGCGCCAGCGCAGAAGTACTCTCGGGCATTTGCAGCTTCCCACTGCCGAGCAAGGTCTCGCCTAGCGCGGGCCCACAAACGATGCAGAGCAACGAACAATCCGATCGGACGGTGCCCTCCATCGGGTTTGGCGAGCATAATGAGCAGCACGACTCTCATCTGGCCAGGCAACAAACCCGAACGTTCCCAAATCGACATCATAATCGCAAGCACCTGCAGCGCAGGGTCCGACAGATGCTGAAACGACCGCGCGTGAAAACCATCGACAGACGAAGCGGTACGAGCGGGAAACGAACGGGCCGTCCGACGAAGATCCTCGACCGAAAGCTCAGGCAGAGGCTCGAGAGGCACGAAGCTAGCGCCCGATGGGCGCGGCTCGAGAAAAGGTTGGGCGTGCCAAATACGCGCAAATTTCTCGAGCTCCGACGATAAGAGGGCCCCAGGGTCCGAGGCCACCTCACCTTTAGCCGACAGGGTGGTAGACGGAGTCCACCCCGCAGCTCCCCTAATCACCCCGTGGGCGTGACGGGCACCGTTCTCAATATTCTGACGAATCCATTCCAACCAATTCTTATGATCCTCGTGGCGGGACTTGCTCTCGGCCGCCGCCAGGGCCTGGGAGACCAAATCAAGCACGCATTGGGGTTCCCCTTCCAAGTAAGGTTGGCATTGGGGGGTATAAGTAACAATATCTTGAACAGCCTGGAGGAGAGTCAATGGCTCACCGTCCCAAGTACCCAGTCTCGACGGAGGGTGAAACAACTCTCCCGCAGTATCCCGCAGGTGCTGCTGCCGACGCTCCTCCGAGCTGGACGCTCTGGCCACATTGCGGGAGCTATCACTAACTCCCGCAACGCAAAACCGTTTTTCATCACCGCAATAGGCAAAAGGTGGGGAGGAAAGCGGCACCACCTGACAGTCTCGATCTTGACAACCGAGGCCGTGCAACTGGAGCCACAAGCGGTAGCGCGAGCGCAGCCACCTCAAACTGGTAGCCTCGCGCGAAGTACGAGAGATGCCCGCCATCGAGCGATGCGACGCGTCGACGACGTTGACCCAGCGCAGCTGAGCCTGGCAGCCTCTCATTCCATGCACTGGCAGTTGGGTCTGAAAAACCCCCTCGAGCTCCTTTTCAGCCGCCGTGCCCCACTCCCGATACAACACATCAAGGTTGAACTGGGTTCGATCAGTGTCCCCAAGCTCGGCCGTCACGAGGGCTCTGGAGGCCATACGAGACACCAAGTCCCAATCCTTGGAAGGTTGGGGCAAGGGGCCAGGGGGCCGTTCTTTAGGGAGTGGCGGAGGGCTGCGAAAAGAGAGGGCCCGCAGAGACGCAAGCTGAGGGTGAAGTTTAACCGAGACGGGGTCGTGGGTAGCCAACTCCGAGTCCGCGATAATCTTCACGCTCGCAATAGCTTGGGCAACTCTGGCCTCAACCAACATATAATCGTACATCTTGGGACCTCCAGTCGACCTACAAGTGCCGAGGACACCCGAGGGAACGCAAAATTCGGCACCGAGGCGGTCGGGGATCCGCGAGGTGCTCAAAGTCGACGGCTCCATATTGAAATCACCCCCGATCACATAGGGCACCGAGAGGCTCTTGGCTCATGAGGCAATGCACGCCAGGATCTCACTGTTGAGATCGTTCAGGCCAGCACAGTCCTGCAAGTAGACACTCATAACATAGAAACTAGCCTGACCAGGAAGATGGACTAACACACCTGTGGCTCGATGATTTTTCACCCGAGGCCCAAAATCAGGGTAGTGCAGTCCCAGGAAGGACCGAGCCAGGACCCCGACTCCCGAGGACGGACCCCCTTCCAGGTCCCAAAACTCCAGGCTCGAAATGCACCTTCCAACCGTTTCGAACACACCAAGCCTGGGCCTTACGCAGGTCCTCGGCGCTGATGAGCTCGTGCTCCTGACACATGACGACGTGCGCCGTGGTCAAGGCTAAAAACTTCTTGAGAGAACTCCAAGAGGTACAGTTAGCCGTGACGAACTCCAATTCAAAATCTTCCCAAGAGGATCCAACTCGCCGACCGTGATGCCCCGAAACGCTCGAATCATCCAAAACTGGGCAAGAAGGAGGAATCATGGGGAAAGAGGAGTCCGTCCTGGCTAGATTGCCCTGGAGACGGAGCCTTAGCTGCTGCCGCGGTCCTGGGAGCATGAGCGCCCCTCTGGACCGTCTGGCGGGCAGCAGCTCGCACGTCTGCAGGGACTGCTGTGGGGCCCGCTGCCTTGACTGGCGTAGCGGGTGGAGGCGCCTTGCCTGTCGCAGCCGCCTCAGCCGCTGGGGCTCCACCACCAGCTTTTGCAGGGGTGCGCGCAGCCTCATTGTCAGAAGACGTCGCAGCCGTCGAACCTCCAGCCGCAGAGGGCGTGTCTCCAGCAGATGCAGCTCCAGCGGCGTCCGCCTCATCAACACCATCATCACCCTGGCGTCGACGCTTGTGGGCCAAACGCTCTTGCTGCTCCTTGTGCGCGATCTTGTGCTCCTCGGCGCGCTTCTTGAGCTCACCGAACAACTTCGTGCACGTGTCCTTGATGCAATCGGCCATCTGACTCTTGCGCCGAGCTGCCTCCTCCAGGTCCCCTGCAGAAACCTCAACATAGTCCTCGAGCCCGAACAAGTTCCCGTCGTCCACCTGCAAACCTGTGAGGCGACCCTCCAGGATGTCAGTGAGGCTGATCGTGGGCATGGACTGCTGCTGCTGCTGGGCCTGGGGCTTGGACACTGTGAGATGCAGCTCTGCGATGGCCGTCTTGTACTCAGCATCGTACTTGTCCAGCTCAGCCAAGGTCGACTCCAGCTGGGCACGGAGGGTCTCGAGCTTCTGCTCCACCGTGTGGACAGCTTTGAGGTCCTTGTCAAGCTTCTTCTTAAGTCTCGAGATCTCCTTGTGAGCAGCATCAGCCCACTCTTGAGGTGGGACTGATGACTCCTTGTGCTTCTGCAGTTCCAGCTGGGCCTGCTGCAGCAGCACTTGGTTACCCATCCTCTCACACAACTGCACCATCTGCTCCAAATCAGACTTGCTAGCCGAGGAAGACGGGGCTGAAGCGAAGGATGCCTTGGTGGCCTGACCAGCGGCAACACCAGCAGCCTCTCGACGAAGTGCCGCTGGGTCGCCACGTGCCTTGTCCCCCGCAGAACCATCGTCGATGGGGGCGTTCCACCATTTCCTGCAGTGCTTGCAATAGCTGTAGAAACTCTCATTGCGCTTGCACCCGCAATGGCGACATGACCAGCGAGGGCCACGAGCGTTGTCGCCAACACCAGGCCACGCCTTGGGAGCCATTGCGCGAGTGCCGTCTTGACTGATGCCGCGCCAAAAGGCCCGCTGTCACCCAGCCGTTCTGAAGTGTCGGTGACAGCAAGCTGAAAGATGCTTCAGCCAGAACGGCTAGGAGGAGGAGGAGGAGGAGGAGGAGGAGGAGGGGGAGGAGGAGGAGGAGGAGGAGTAGAAGGAGGAGTAGGAGGAGGAGGACGGGTCGCCTAAGCCCTTCGGAGAAACCCTCCAAAAGACGGCCAGGGTTCCGCAATACGTCCTCCGCAGGGGCGGCCGAGGGGCCCGCGGCTGCGCCGGTAGCCGCCGCCATGTGGGCGAGCAGCAGCCGCTGACCAGACGAGCCACCGCGGCAAGAGCGCTGATCGACTGATCGACGGCCATGGTGACGAAGGCGATAACGGTGATACAGTCGGGGCTTTGACCCAAGGAACCCGAAGTAGGGCACGAGACCGCTTTCTCCCAGAAATTAAACTTCGATGTCCCATGGAAGATCTCAGGAAAACCCAAGACAAACCTTAAAACAATGAAAGAGCACCGAGCCCCTCCCCAACGAAATGGGTTCCTTCTTCAGCGCTCCGACTGTAGTGGCGAAGGTGACGGCGGCGATGCCACCAGTCCAGTGGTCCTGCTCTTCAACCCCACAATGCTCGCCCTCCCCTTGCTTATCACCGTTCCTCCCCCAATGCTCCACACTCCCCCTCCCTCGCCTGCTCCGTCCTCCACGCATGTCTCGGCGGATTCCTACCGATCCTCCTGCTCCTCATCAACCTCGGGTGGGATCAGGACCTTGCGGAGCGAATTCGCGCCGATCTCGCGTATGTATCGCCCTTTGCTGCAAACGTAAGAACATCGCAATCATCCGGCACCATGTCTGTTCCGTGGCATGCCGCCCCTCTCGGCCTCATCCAGGAGAGCGGTCATCCATTCCGATGTGTTCTCATGGCGTCGGGACAAAGCGGGCCTGCAAGAACCCAAACCGAGGACGAAAAAGGCCGTCACGATTACACCCGATATTCGAAGCCTCGCGCGTGCTTCGCGAGAGCGCCTCGCGCCTAGCGTGGCAAAATGGCATCAGATGGCTGTCGCCACTGTCAAGATGATACAGGCGCCCCTCGAGATCATTCGCGGAGGTTTCGTGGCGGAAGTTTGTGGGACGTTTGGTCATGTGGGTGGAGGCCGCTGGGGAAGCTTGCAAGAGAAGCAACAAGAAGGTGAGCAGGGGAAACACAACCACAGGTGAGGAAACGATGAGAGGCATGGCCGCGTGTTAGGGCGTTCTTCCCGCAGGGCGTCTGAGGAGGACGAGGAGGAGGAACAGGAGGAGGAGCAGGATGAGGAGGAGCCAGTGGAGCGCGAGAGGAACGAACGACGACGACGAGAGATCAGATGACGACGACGACGACGACCAGCGTGGCGTCGCGGGGCTTTCTGTGGGCTCGCAGGGCGCCACTCGGAGGGAACACTGCCGAACAGCCATAACACGCCTGAGGCACAATGCGGTGTCTCGGGGCGCCCTGGAGATCCTGCTACTTACCTTGGGCTAGCATGAGGCGTCTTGGCGGCCCCTGGGAAGGCCTTCTGAGCCATCTTGAAAGCCTCTTGAGGCCAAGCAAGAGCTCAACCACTCTCCGAAAACGGTTGTGGGACACCCAGGCCGAAAGTAGGTACGGGGGGGGGAAGAAAAACGCAGCCGACCCTGGCCCATGGCCCTGGTATATACAATAGAACTGCTCTCGCTGGGACGGCGTGGGCTATCTTGATGGTCTCATCGGTTCAGTTGCTTTGGACCCTCTCGGGGCAAATTGGAGCCCCTAGATGTCCCTTTGGAGCCTCTGAGAGACCTATCCAGGACTGCTATGGCCCAAATGCCAAAAAACCTCCGAAATCTTGTGCCCCTTCTGGGACACCCCTGTTGAACCCTTGGCAGATTTCTGAAGAATTCAGGGGATTCTGGGCGATCGCAAGACACAACCGTCTTCCAGCAACTTTGAGCCGGACAGCTGTGAACGCTTGAACAAATCAAAGCATGCGGGAATCTCAATGGCTTGTTCGCGAACTTTGTCAGTGCACGGGTCACCTTGTGACCGCTTGGGAGCGTTCAGGCGGGCATCACGGGGCCGCGCTGGCTCTCTCGGGCTCGCTAAGGAGTTCTCTTGGGACATCTTCGCGGCCGTCTGGGGATCTGCATGGGCAGCATTGGGGGTCTGGTTGGGTTCTTTGGGATCTGTCTGGGGGGGGCCTCTTGGGCCGTCTTGAGGCCTCTTGGGCCATCGTGGGCCCCGTTTCTCTGGTTTGCAGGTCTCCTGGACCCGTGTGCGGGCCGTCGTTGGTTCATCTTGGGCCAGATTCGGGCCCCCTTGGGTGGTCTTTCGGGGGCTCTCTTGGGCAGACTTGTGGCGCTCTTTTTCCCGACCCCCGATCGCGAGACGGGTCCTAGTTTGAATAACCAGCGTGCGCGCCTCCTTCCTTCCTGATCCTCCCTTTTTCCGCGATGTGCAAGCCCATGTCAGCACACCATCACAGGTTTTGTGGCCCAATATGGTGCCCAACCGAAACCCCAAGGGGTGGCATTGAATGCGGTAACCCGACCATGTCGGCACGCGCCTCACACGTTTCGTGGCCCAAGAAGGAGCTCCACCGAGCCCCCAGGGGGTGGTATTGCATGCTGCCCCCAATCGTTTCAGCGCAGGCGTTGCACTTTTCGTGCCCTAACAAGGAACTCTAGCTAAACCCCAAGGGGTGGTATCATATGCGCTCACACTATATCATAAAATCGTCACACTATGAAACAAATATCGACGCACGACTCAAACGCTTCGTTGTCCCATCGGGAGCCCCGCCGAAACCCCCAGGCGGTGGTATTGCATGACGTCCCCCCGACCATTCCGGGCGCACGCCTCACAAGCTTCGTGTCTGCATGGGGACCTCCACCGAAACCACCAGCTAGGTGGATGGGATTCGGTCCCCGACAATTTCGGCGCACCTCTCACAACATCGTGGCCCCATAGCCAAAGCCCTCCGAACGGGATTCATAGCGTCCTGCCGACCATCTAGGCGCACTCAAAACGCGCGTCGTGGCTCCATGGGCAGGGGGGTTGACTGCATGCGCTCTCCCTGCCATTTCGGCACATCCCTCGTGAAGGTCGTGCTGCCGACGTAAACTCATTTTGGGGCACCCTTCGCACGGATCGCGGCCCCACAAAAAGCTCCACCTACGGCCCCAGAGGCAGGGTTCGCACGCCCACCCCCCGCGAATTCCGGCACAACACTCCCACGAATCGTGTCCCATGTGGCACTCCACCTACGGCCCCAGCGGCAAAGCTTGCATGCGCCCCTCCGCCCATGCCGGCATAATCACCGACAGCCTATTCCCCGCGCCGCGCCCTGCGCGGCCCCTGGCAACTTTCGCGCGCCGCGCATCGCACGCGCCCCGCCGCGGCGCGAAGCGCACGCGGGCGGCCCGCTCCTCCGCGCGCGCGCGCGCGCTCCACCTGCGAACACGGCGCGCGACGGCCCCATCCTCCCACCCATTCCCCCAACCCATACCCCGTCCCCCGACCCCAGAAAGTGCAACGGTGCTCCGGGGGTGCAGAACGACCTTGGGGTGACCAAACCCCCCGAATGGAACGCCTGCGTGAAGAAGGCAAGACCCTGGCGTGGCTCGCCAGTAATGCCGCTCTCCCCACGGGGAAAGCGAACACTGCCGGCGTCCGGCGCCGCCCTCGCCGACCCGAGCACCCCACCGGGGGTCGGGATACGGCGGGCGTGTTCGCGCGCGCAAAACATGTCGCGCACCTGTCAGACGTTACACCTGGTGATGCGACCGCTGCCAGCGGCCACCAGGGAAGGAAGGCCCCCTCCCCGCACGCGCTGACCTGCGCGGCGTTCTCGCACCTGCGACGCACACGTTCGGCCGACCCGAGGCAGGACCCCTCGCAGCCGGTGCGCATCGCCTCTTGCACGGCGAAGTCCACGCCGGCGCCCATCCCAAATTCTCCCCGGTAACCCCACCGGGGCCCAGGGTGTGGTGGGTGGGAAACAAACCAACAGCAACCGCTGTCGCCAACGCGCTTTGCTCGCACGATCCAATTGCGCGCTCTGATGCGCGCAGTCCCTGCGAGCGCGCGCGGGCGCCCCCTTCTGTCATGATTATGGTTCCCTGACCCGAGCCTCCCCGAGCCTAAAGTCAACGCATAATCACCGACAGCCTATTCCCCGCGCCGCGCCCTGCGCGGCCCCTGGCAACTTTCGCGCGCCGCGCATCGCACGCGCCCCGCCGCGGCGCGAAGCGCACGCGGGCGGCCCGCTCCTCCGCGCGCGCGCGCGCTCCACCTGCGAACACGGCGCGCGACGGCCCCATCCTCCCACCCATTCCCCCAACCCATACCCCGTCCCCCGACCCCAGAAAGTGCAACGGTGCTCCGGGGGTGCAGAACGACCTTGGGGTGACCAAACCCCCCGAATGGAACACCTGCGTGAAGAAGGCAAGACCCTGGCGTGGCTCGCCAGTAATGCCGCTCTCCCCAACGCTGCTCTGGCTCCGCGTTTCTGCACCCCCAACGCTGTTCTGGGTCCGACGCCGCTCCGCAATCGCGCGTCGATGTACACGGCGCCCCGTGTCTGAGGCATGCCCGTGCCCCGCGGCTGGGCCCGCGCTCACCTCTCCTGCGCGGACTCCTTCTTTACGGCGAATCCACTGAGCCTGGCGCGGCACGCTGCACGCCGCGGCCCACCCCCCGCGAATTGCCCTCGCGGAGCGCGCCTTCCGCGCGCCGCAGCACCCAACGCCGCGCGTCTAGTAAGCACCCGCGCCACGCGGCCGGGTCCACTCTCACCTCGCCGGTACGAAAACCATTCTCCCGGGCGAAGCTATCCTCGCCGAGCCGCCTGGCACCGCGCGAGTGGCGACTCGGGGGAAGGCCGCCCCCGCGCGCGTACGGCGCGCCGTGAGATCCCGTCCGACCAGTTGCTTTTCGAGTCTACCCACTCGAGCCAGGTGGACATGTCGCAGTGAAACTGGCGCGACACGCTGCACGGCGCGTCCCCCCGCGATTTGCCCTCGCGGCGCGCGCCTTGAAGAAATTCATAAGCTTGACGCTCCGGTCCAGGGTAGCATGGTCGCACCTGCCACTCACGAAGCTGTGGAGAGCGCTCGTGTTGTCAAGCACCCACAGGATGCGCCTCCCTCGGCACCTCCGCGCCTCTTGCGCCAGGACAATGGGGACCATGGCCCCCTCACAGAGGGCGATCGGATTCGCGCCCCTCTCCCGGTCCGCCGGCGAGAAACCCCACTCCGCGAGTATGGCATCGTCGAATACACACCATCCTCCCACACGCTCCCCTGTCAAGCAATCGACCAGGAGGTAGCCGCCTGTGGGCGCGGTCGCCCCGTCAGCCCGCGCGTCGCTTGCGATCACAATCAGCGGACACGAGGGCGGGCTCACGTCGACGCTTCTCTTCGGGGCAAGGTCTATTACAAATTCGAAGTAATCGAAGCACCGCCGAATCGCGTGGGATAACGCCCACGGAGGCGCGTCAGTGTACTGCCTCTGCTTCAGCGGCGCCATCGCGGCGCTGCCGACGCCGTTGAACATCGCGGAGGACGACCACTGCAGAGTGCCCCGGAGCTTCGAGGCCTCCGCTGGTGTCAGGCTGTTCCGCGCACGGTGCTCCGCGAGCAGGCCTTTGATTTTGTCAATCATGCTGGCCTTCGGCCAAAAGGAGACCACCCCTCTGCCTTCAAAAACCCGAGACACGTCGTGATCGACTCCCAAGAATGCCCCAGTGGCGGCCATGCGCCGCTGCTTCGCGCTGGCACTCGGGGTACCCAACTCCGAAAACAAGACGTTGAGTAAAACCTGTCCCGAGCCTTTCGCCAATCCGAGGTCCCCAAGACTGCCATCGTCGACTTGCATCGTGTGCAACAATGCCGCCACGCGCCTGGCAGCGGCTTCCAGAAAGGCAGACCACCGCATGAAATTCATAACACTCGACGACAAGCCGAACAGCATGGCGAATGCAGTCAAGTATCGCCACTCCCCGCTGCGCGGTTCCCGCGCCGCAATGACGTTATATCGCAGCTGCGCGGGATTGACCGGCACGGACCTGTATGCGTCCGGCAGGTCCTCGCCTCCAGTCTCAAGGGTTAAGCCCTCATCAGCAAAGCCTCCCGCCGCAGCTTCCTGCCTGAGGGCGCACGCCAAACACCGGGCCGGACCACGCCCCTTGGACACCGGAGGGGCCCACTAGGCCCACACGAACGGACCCGGGGGAACGGCCCGCGGGAAACCCGCGACACACCGGCCGGCGGGGAGGGGGAAAAGGCCACCTCCGGTGTTTGGCGTACCTCCCGACCGCTGCCTCAAGACTTTGCCATACAATGCAGGCGTGAACGCTGATGGCAAGTGCCACTTCTCAGGGTACACCGTCGCGCCGTTCTGCCCACCGGCTTTAGCATCGTCTATCCGCCGACGCTTGCCGTTCTGCTGCACGTGCACGAACGACGGCACGGCCGCCCAGCGCCCGGCGCCGTACTCGCGGTCCATCGCGGCCAGCGACGCCGGAGGAGCAGCCCAGCCCTTCTCGCATTCCTTCAAGCATGATTCCCAAAGAAACTCAGCCTCAGGATCAACCCGTCGCTTGTCCCTGGAACGTAAAAGCGCGGTGGACTCCGCCAACAAGCGGTCTTCAGAAACAGGTTCCGAACTTTCGCACCGCTCCCAGACACCCGTCTCCTCCAATCGCCCCACGATATTGAAGCCGGTCACAAATCTCTGGGCCAGCTGCCAATCCGGCCAACCCATCACCCAAGTCAGAACACAAATCAGCGCGATGTGGGTGTTCTGCGCCACGGCATGTACTGAGGGGCTTTGCCAGAGCCGAAGGGCGCGGGACACCGGCGCCAGCCTTTGACTAAGCTCCTTCAACGCCCCGGCGCAAGACTCGCGCCACTGCCTCAGCCGATTACCACCGGCCCACGCGAACGCAACCGTGGCAAAGGCAGCATACTTCAAATCAACGGGTGCCATGTACTCATCGTCGAATGGCAATCGCCCCGCGCTCGCGAATTCGATGCATTGAGCGAGGTGTGCCCGCTCCCCCACGCCGAGTTCGATAACCGGCGCCAGCGCTAGCCTGTGGTCGAGCACGCCTGCCTGGCGACCCAACACGGCGCTCGCGCGCCCCTTGGAATTTCTGCCCAGAGAACATCCCAGAGGTAGTCCTTCGTCCTGCAGCTCCGCCCAGATGGCGAAATCAACGAATGGCGAAGTATTCAACAAGTCTTGCAAGAACGGGATGGGAACGCCCACCAGCCACTCTTCCGGAAAGGACTTCCGAATTTTCACAGCGATGTCCGCCTGGCTCCATCGCGCGCCCACGACGCTGGGGCACGCGACCCCACTGGTGACTGCCCCTTCTGCCGCGGCGGGCGGCGCGGCAGCGGGTGCGTTTCAATCGCCCTTGCGGCCGCGCTTGCCGCCGTCGGCCGCGCCCCCGCTCGCGTTCCTCGCGTCGCAAACTACAACGCCGGGTGTTCCGAACATTCGGCGCTAACCGTCGCCTTTCCCGGACCCAGGGCGCCCCCGGACCCGGGCCGCCCCCTTTAAGCTAACAGGGAAACCAAAAACTGAGACCCGGGCTCCTGGTGCACTTGAGGGCGCAGTGGTTCGACATGCCACACAAGCGCCCCGTCTTGTTGATCACGACGGAACAGACGTGCTTATACCCGCGAGGGCACGGCTCGGAGCACTCCCCGGCGTTGAACTTGCGACACACCTGGG